AGAAAACAATCATGCTTAACTTTCATCAAACAATGACACTGGCTTCAGAGAGGGAACAGTGCATTCCTCTAAAAATAGGTTGTTAAAAGTTCCCACATATTGTACATTTTCTAGCAGAATATTTATTTTTGAATTCTGCTCTAAGGGACATCATTATTATATTAGATCTGCAACTGTCATGAACTGCTCCGAGACACGACGGTTGAGGATCCTAATGCAGTTTTATTGAAAGGGTAATCCACAATCGTAGTCGAAAACAGGCAAAGGTCATAAACACCGGCTAATCAGTCCAAACAATAACAGGGTCAAAGGGCACAGGCAAAACTGAGGAAACCAAGACAACCGGACAGAAGATCGAAACCCAGGAGAATGCTCGTGATTGCAGAGACAACATACAAGACTCGCAGATCATGAATGAGAAAACCAGGCTTATATGGGGGGAGCTAAACAACAGAATGAGACACAGGTGACCGTGATAATGGAGGAAGAGTCCGGCAGGGAGTTATGGGAGATGTAGTTTGTGAGGGAATGACAATAGTCTCTCTCTCTCTCTCTCTCTCTCTCTCTCTCTCTCTCTCTCTCTCTCTCTCTCTCTCTCTCTCTCTCTCTCTCTCTCTCTCTCTCTCTCTCTCTCTCTCTCTCTCTCTCTCTCTCTCTCTCTCTCTCTCTCTCTCTCTCTCTGTCTCTGTCTCTGTCTCTCTCAATTCAATTCAAATTGCTTTGGCATGACTGTACATATTACAATATTGCCAAAGCTTGTAACACATAGTATAATAATAAAGACATAAAGAATAATAAAGTATTATAACAACTGAAATTCAAATGTACAAATTAAATTAATTGCACAAATTAACAATGTAACAGGTTATAGTTTCTGTGAACATTTGATACCACAGTGTTTTAACATATATATATATACAAACACACACATTACTGAGGGTCACTGTGGTGGACATTAGGGAAACACACTGAGGTCAGTCTCACACACACACACACACACACACACACACACACACACACACATTCACCTGCTGTCTCTCAGGCTGTGGCACACACACACGTATCTGGCAGCCAGTGTTGCGGTCTGTCCCTCTCCTAGTAAGATCTTTATCTGTTCTACTTCAGTCATGGCTGTAAAGCCCTGTATTATGTTATTAAGTTTGTTAAAGTAGAGGTCTCTGACTGAGCTGTATCTGTGACAGTGAAGGAGGAAGTGTGTCTCTGTCTCGATCTCTGCTGTCCTACACTGAACACACCCTTTGCTCTCGGGGGTAACCAGCTCTTTCTGTGTCTGCCGGTCTCTCTCTCTCTCTCTCTCTCTCTCTCTCTCTCTGTCTCTCTCTCTCTCTCCTCTCTCTCTCCTCTCTCTCTCTCTCTCTCCTCTCTCTCTCTCTCTCTCTCTCTCTCTCTCTCTCTCTCTCCTCTCTCTCTCTCTCTCTCTCTCTCTCTCTCTCTCTCCTCTCTCTCTCTGTCTCTCTCTCTCTGTCTCTGTCTCTCTCTGTCTCTCTCTGTCTCTCTCTCTCTCTCTCTCTCTCTCTCTCTCTCTCTCTCTCTCTCTCTCTCTCTCTCTCTCTCTCTCTCTCTCTCTCCTCTCTCTCTCTGTCTCTCTCTCTCTGTCTCTGTCTCTGTCTGTCTCTCTCTGTCTCTCTCTCTCTCTCTCTCTCTCTCTCTCTCTCTCTCTCTCTCTCTCTCCTGCGTGTCCTCTCTCCTGGCCTTTCCCGCTCTGTGAGTTTCCTGCATTATTCATGTCCGTAGGAAAGTGAGCCGCCCGCCTGCTGTGACCTGTGACCTTTGCTTCCGACGCAGGCGCGGCTCAATGATGTTTCATTCAAACCCGAAGCCCAGGAATGGCATGAAAGACACATTCATCATGCAGGAATATTCTGTCAGCATTTACCCAACCTATATATATATATATTGTGTGTTTCCACAAAAATATGCAGCTGAACTGCTTCCAATTTTTAGTTAAATTCACATTTATTTGTACAGCGCTTTTCACAACACACATCGTTTCAAAGCAGCTTTACAGAACATGCACGAGTCCGTTATCAGAGGTGACGGTCTAAGTCAGAAATGTACATTTACAAATCACAGTTTAACAAATTATTATACATTGATAATGAAATAAAAAGTGTTCAGTTATTCATCTCTGCCTGTGTTTCTGCAGGAGGTTGAAGCAGAGCATCATGGGATAGCAAAGGCAGATGTGTCGGAGACCAGCAGCGATCGATTGAACATCTCCGGTGGAAAACTCTGCAAGACTGACTCGCAGAACCACACGAGCCCCAGGTAGGGCTCACACACTCCGGCACACTCGCCTGGTCCTGAGCTTCATCAGACGGTAACGCTGGTCCCGGCTTTACAGTTTACTTGCCCGAACGGGAAACTAGCCTGATTAAAACGGCAATAATAAAATAAATATGGAATCACCAAAACTCGAGAATATTTAGTGTAAGCAGCGATTGATAGTGAATAATAATATATAATGTACGCTGACAGTAAACAGGTTGTGCTGCTGCTGATGAATACCCTCACGATTGAAAATGTGACACTGATTTCATGACAGTTCAATAAACAAGTAATTTAAATTAAGTCACTTAAATTTTAGATGCAATATTGACTGGTTTTGTTCTATTTCAGCAGCGAAAATAGTTCCACAGATCACCGCAGAACCACAGCGCGTCTCACAGCAACACTCAACCGTTTCATTCCTGAACGAATAAGCGTTTGAACGAATCGGTTGAATCAAAGATTCAGTGACCCATTCATAAACAACTGCCTCATTCCTGAACGAATCAGCGTTTGAACCGAACCGAATCGTTTGGATAAATGACTCAATGACTCGCTCAGTAAGACGGTCCCCTGCCGCCCCCTACTGGCGGTTTAGTTTCGTTTAAGAGTATCAACATTTCTTTCCAACATTTCTTATTTGTATATTCAAAAAATATTTAAAACAATCTTATAACATTTTTAAATGCAGTTGTAATTTTTCAGTTTAAATGATTTTATTTGATTGGTAACAGCCCTAGATAGTGTCTTGTTATTCTAATTTAATTTATTGATCAAATTTAAGAATTTAAAATAAAAGATAAAGCATATATTTAATAAGATTAAAGGTAAAAATATCACAAATATGCTATTTAAATATGTCAAAGCTGACTGAACACTGATGAGAATATTGCTTTAGAATAAATTTTATTTACAACACACAGAAATCCTATTTTTAACTCGGGACAAGTGAATGAGCGCTTTACTTCCCTAATGGACAAGCGCATGAAGGCTTAATGTGGAGTTGTGTAGTGATCTGTGTGTGTGTGTGCTGAAGATCTCTGTGTTTGTGCAGTAAAGCGGAGCACAGGGTCCATCGGCGCACGCGCAGCTCGTCCGTGAAGGACCGGCAGAACTCCAGAGCCAGCGTGGACAGCGAGTTCCCCCCCGACAGCAGGTTCAACACACAGGTGCGTCTCTGAGGATCACACTGAACTCTGGGATAGATCAGCTGAGGAGCAGTGAGTCTGTACACAGGTTATCATTGTCTGTCTAATATTATCGATCTGCTCATTTCGGTTAATTTTCATATAACATCTCGCAAACTAAACAAAAAAGCTTTAAAAAACATACAAACAAAAAAGCTTTTGACCGTTTAACTGATAGTATTAATCGGTCAAAATGTTTACTTTCGGTTAGCGGTTAAACGGTCACTATGAGCATCCCTGTTGTAAATAAAGAAGTTCCTAAAGTCCTCACTGCTGTGCGGTTTGGAAACGTCTGGGGTTGAAGCTTTATTCTGCATTAGGCAGGGGTTTGGTGATGTCACTTTGTGAAAGACTATACACATATATATTAAAACGCGCATATCTATAGTCTGAACACGTGATGCGCATGTGCGCAGCGTTTACACAGATTCACGTTTTTGAAGTTTACACAGAGATGATCACGTTTAAAACAATTTTCAGCGCTCGCCCCTTGGATCCTGTTTCAGAGTGTGTGTTCTGGAGCTCTAACGCTGCTGTGTGCGGATGAACAGCAGAACACATTAAAGTTTCTGTCTTCAGTAGAGCGGTGTCGTGTTAGCGGCCGCTAAGTTAATCACTAATGATCTTTACAACGGAAGTGAATCAATCAAAACTAACTTTAGCTGGACAATAACTTTATTCTAGAGCTGCTGTAAAGCCTAAACACTCTCTGTGACTGTAATCTCCTGTTATCACTGTAAAGCTGCTGTGGAACTGGATAGATGATGGAGACTGACTAGCGTGAGTCGTGTGTGTCGTTCAGGTGCCCAGGAAATCAGTGTACGACCAGCTCAATCAGATCCTGATCTCAGACGAGAGGCTCCCGGAGAACATCATCCTCATCAACACAGTGGACTGGCAGGGGCAGGTGTGTGTGTGTGTGTGTGTGTGTGTGTGTGTGATTCCTAGCGCTCCCAACGCCACACTCAGGGGAATGCAGGAACTGTATGATGTAACCCTGAATGCAGAAATGTAAATGTTGTAGTTCTGCATAGTAATTATACATTACTCTCCATAAATCAATTTACAGGTGTGTTTGATCATTTATTTTAGTGTGTGAGTCCGTCTCTCACCACATTGGCTTCATACGCTCTCCTCATCAGTGCAGTGTTAGAGTACAGCGTGTGTCAGCTGAGGTGTGTGTCGTTGTGTTGTGCAGTATGTGTCGGAGCGGCTGCAGAAACACACTCAGCCCATCGTGTCGACCTGCTCTCCTGCTGACGTCCAGGCAGCGTTCAACACCATCGTCACGCGCATACAGAGATTGTGAGTGACCACACACACACACACACACACACACACACACACACACACTCACTCACAGCTCTATAAATACACTGTTTCTCTAAGCATCTGAGTGCTTCTGATCGTCGCAGCGGTTCATTATCATTTGAGTCTTGAGCATCTACAGCTGTCAGTGTGATATGATCCTCATAACACTCACTGAACACACACACTCTAACACACACACTCTAACACACACACTCTAACACACACACTCTAACACACACACTCTGAACACACACACTCTAACACACACACTCTAACACACACACTCTGAACACACACACTCTGAACACACACACTCTAACACACACACTCTGAACACACACACTCTGAACACACACACTCTAACACACACACTCTAACACACACACTCTAACACACACACACTCTAACACACACACTCTAACACACACACTCTAACACACACACTCTAACACACACACTCTAACACACACACTCTAACACACACACTCTAACTCTAACACACACACTTGAACACACACAGTCTAACACACACGCTGATCAGCCAATCAGAATCCATCCTGCTTTAAAGAGAACGCTTTTTATAAATAGAACGTTATCTTCTGGTTTGGACACTAATATACTCATCGTAATAGTTAATATATTATATATATATATATATATATACACTCACCGGCCACTTTATTAGGTACACCTGTCCAACTGCTCGTTAACACTTAATTTCTAAGCAGCCAATCACATGGCGGCAACTCAGTGCATTTAGGCATGTAAACATGGTCAAGACAATCTCCTGCAGTTCAAACCAAGCATCAGTATGGGGAAGAAAGGTGATTTGAGTGACTTTGAACGTGGCATGATTGTTGGTGCCAGAAGGGCTGGTCTGAGTATTTCAGAAACTGCTAATCTACTGGGATTTTCACGCACAACCATCTCTAGGGTTTACAGAGAATGGTCCGAAAAAGAAAAAACATCCAGTGAGCGGCAGTTCTGTGGGCGGAAATGCCTTGTTGATGCCAGAGGTCAGAGGAGAATGGCCAGACTGGTTCGAGCTGATAGAAGGGCAACAGTGACTGAAATAACCACTCGTTACAACCGAGGTATGCAGCAAAGCATTTGTGAAGCCACAACACGCACAACCTTGAGGCGGATGGGCTACAACAGCAGAAGACCCCACCGGGTACCACTCATCTCCACTACAAATAGGAAAAAGAGGCTACAATTTGCAAGAGCTCACCAAAATTGAACAGTTGAAGACTGGAAAAATGTTGCCTGGTCTGATGAGTCTCGATTTCTGTTGAGACATTCAGATGTTAGAGTCAGAATTTGGCGTAAACAGAATGAGAACATGGAACCATCATGCCTTGTTACCACTGTGCAGGCTGGTGGTGGTGGTGTAATGGTGTGGGGGAAGTTTTCCTGGCACACTTTAGGCCCCTTAGTGCCAATTGGGCATCGTTGAAATGCCACGGCCTACCTGAGCATTGTTTCTGACCATGTCCATCCCTTTATGGCCACCATGTACCCATCCTCTGATGGCTACTTCCACCATGTCACAAAGCTCTAATCATTTTAAATTGGTTTCTTGAACATGACAATGAGTTCACTGTACTAAAATGGCCTCCACAGTCACCAGATCTCAACCCAATAGAGCATCTTTGGGATGTGGTGGAACGGGAGATTCGCATCATGGATGTGCAGCCGACAAATCTGTGGCAACTGTGTGATGCCATCATGTCAATATGGACCAAACTCCCTGAGGAATGCTTCCAGCACCTTGTTGAATCTATGCCACGAAGAATTGAGGCAGTTCTGAAGGCAAAAGGGGGTCCAACCCGTTACTAGCATGGGGTACCTAATAAAGTGGCCGGTGAGTGTATATGATAGCTATAGTTAATATATGTATTAAATAGTTATCAATATAGTTATAGTTACTACAGTTATTGTTTTATTTATTGTTATAGTTATAATTCCACTTTTAGTTGTAGTTATAATCATATTTATCGTTACACCTGTAGTTCTCGTATATATGAGAGTAGGCGTTCAGTGAGCCTCAGATCAGTGTGTGAGCGTGTCATGTGACTCCTCCTCCCGTGTCATGTGACTCCTCCCGCAGCTGTAACTGTAACGCCCAGACTCCGCCCACAGTTAAGGTGGGCGTGGCCGGGGATCAGGGCTATCTCAGCACAGTGCTGCGCTTCTTCGTGGAGCAACTGGCCAACAAGACTCCTGATTGGCTGAGCTACATCCGCTTCCTCATCATCCCGATCGGTGAGCGCTGATCTTCATGTCAGCTGTTTTCAGGGCTTATAATAACTCTGGTTTATTGAGTTGTACACACGACCTGTGTGTGTTTCTCAGGTTCCCATCCTCTCGCCAAGTGTGTGTCGTCCTTCGACTGCAAGTTCAGCAGTTTGTTCATGGAGCCGTCGTGGAGGGAGCTGTTCTGCCGGTCAGAGCCTCCCAGCGCAGGTGATGTGTGTGTGATGTGTGTGTGTGTGTGTGTGTTTCACCTGCATCTGTCTCACATCAGACTCGTATCCCATCAGCCCTCACTGCCACAGCCTCATCGCATGCTCACTTACAGTTTGACCCCAATATGGAGATGAAATGAAGTGCTGCTGCGAACTCTTGACATTCACCTGCTGTGTGTGTGTGTGTGTGTGTGTGTCTGCCTCCACAGACTCAGTTGATGTCGCTGGACGGATTATTCAGTATCTCGCTGGAGCGAATGTGTCTCATCAGTTTCCCATCTCTGAGGCCATGCTCACCTACAGACAGAAGAGGTGCGTGTGTGTGTGTGTGTGTGTGCGAGTGTGAGTGAGTGTGTGTGTGTGTGTGTGTGCGAGTGTGTGTGTGAGTTTGTGTGTGTGTGCGAGTGTGTGTGTGTGTGTGTGTGTGTGTGTGCGAGTGTGTGTGTGTGTGTGTGTGTGTGGGAGTGAGTGTGTGTGTGTGCGAGTTTGTGTGAGAGTTTGTCTGTGTGTGTGAGTGAGTGTGTGTGTGTGTGTGTGTGCTCTTGTTTTTGTGATATATGAGGACACAAATGTGTATAATGACATGCATATTACACTGGTATTACAACTTACACGTGATATATGAGGACATTGCATGAGTCCTCATATTTCAAATAGCTTAAAAAACATAAAAAACAATGTTTTTTTTTAAATGTAAAAATGCAGCATGTCTCCTGTGATGGGTAGGTTTAGGGATAGGGGCAGTGTGTGTGTGTGTGTGTGTGTGTGTGTGTGATGGGTAGGTTTAGGGATAGGGGCAGTGTAGGGGGATAGAATATACAGTTTGTCCAGTATAAAAGTCATTACGCCTATGGAATGTCCTCATATATCACAAAAACACAGCAGTGTGTGTGTGCGAGTGTGTGTGTGAGTTTGTGTGTGTGTGCGAGTGTGTGTGTGTGTGTGTGCGAGTGTGTGTGTGTGTGTGTGTGTGGGAGTGAGTGTGTGTGTGTGCGAGTTTGTGTGAGAGTTTGTCTGTGGGAGTGAGTGTGTGTGTGTGCGAGTTTGTGTGTGCGAGTGTGTGTGTGTGTGTGTGGGAGTGTGTGTGTGTGTGTGGGAGTGAGTGTGTGTGTGTTCGAGTTTGTGTGAGAGTTTGTCTGTGTGTGTGAGTGAGTGTGTGCGAGTGAGTGTGTGTGTGTGTACATGTTGTTCTGTCTTCAACCTGAATGCCAACTGGGCGCTGCACATCAGGTGTGTATCAGGCCACGCCCCCTGTGCTGAAACAGGAAGTGATGAATGTTGAATAAAGGATGTAAATGGCCAGTGTATATCGCAGTAGAGTTTGGGGTAACACTTTATTTTAGTGTCCTTGTTACATATGTAATAACAGTAAATTATGCATAATTACACACAACTAACCCTAATGCTAGCACATGAAGTTGCTTAATATTACTCAGAACTTAAATATAATTACACTGTAACAATGACACCTTAAAATAAAGTGTAACGAGTGTGCTGATGGAACACACACTCTTCAGATTCTCAGTAATGAGACATTGCTTGTTTTATTTGTTTGTATCTTTATTATAAGAGAAATCTAAGATGGCGGCAGGAGCAGTAGGCGTTGTCACAGCTCTCTTAGCTTACAACTTGCTTTTTAACTTTTTAAGTCCTATTAATTCTAGTTTTTTTGGTGATCATTCTAATAACCATTCATTATTTAACGGATATGAGAAAATATTTGTTAAAAAAGCTGACTGGTTAATTAAACAAACATACAGTGCCTTGGGAAATTTCGGACATGGGAAGCACATTTTAGCGGTAACCTTTATTTATCCATCTTTATACACACGAGTGAAGAAACATTCAAAATCAGTAACTCGACGTCATCAAAGTGAAGCTTTAGGTCTAATCATCATGATTTGTTTACTATTATCGGGAGATATTCATCCTTGTCCTGGTCCACACCACGCCAAACCATTTATTGGATTTTACGTCGGACTCGGCTGTCTCTCAGGTACGCACTCTGGGTCGCGGGACGTTGCTGTCTGGTTATGTACAACAAATTAACCTCCCTTGCTCTGGTTCGCCGGGTTCTGGTGGCGGCGTCTTGCCCGCGTGGAGTGCTGTGACGAGCGGGGAGGTGGTGGATGCCCAGCGGCTGGGCACTGCCATCATGGACCGGCGTCACACTGGCCCAGTGGAGTCCATGTCGGATGTAGCTATCCTTCAGGTACGCACTTTTGGTGGCAGTAAGTCACTGTCTGGCTATGCTCAACACACTAACCTCCCTCGCTCTATCTTGATGGATGCTGGTGGCGGTGTTGATGCGGGGAGCTTCGCGGCAGAGGAAGCCGAGTTGCCGGGTGTTACCTCGGCCGCAGTTGGCGTTCCGCGGCATGTCCATGCGGGATTGTTGGCGTTTGATGCAGGCCTGGGTTCCCGTGCGGCGAGCGGGAGTGACACGGACTTTCAGAAGAGATCGTTTATTTTAAGACCTGGGAATGAAAGGAATTCTGCTCCGTTGGAGTCACCAAACAATTCCATTTCTGCTAACTCTGGTTTAGGTACTTTACAAGTGTCTGCAAAGTCTATGCAAAATGTAAAAAGTAAAGCTGTAAATCAAGGTATTTTAAAAAATAAGAAATGGGGATTCTTTCAGACAGTAAATCAATCTAGAACAATTTGGGATCCTAAAGTCAAGCCAAAGGGTCTCTTAGGTGGGCATCTTAATATACGAAGTATTATATCAAAGAGTGATCAAATCCATCATCTTTTACTAGACTCTAACTTAGATTTTCTTTGTTTATCTGAGACATGGCTTCATGAAAATTCTCCGTTTGCTGCATTAGAGGTACCTGGCTTTAAATTGTATAGGAGAGATAGGGTTGGTTCTAAGGGAGGTGGTGTTATGATTTATGTGAAAACTACCATCCAGTGTAATGAAATTGCCTGGGCAAATTGTACGGACTTGGAATGTATTGGTTTGAACCTAATATTATCACCACAAATGTCTTTTGTATTACTGTAATTTACCGCCCACCATCTTCTAATATTATTTTTTATGAAAATCTGAAACAATTACTAAAGCAGTGTGATTTTAACAAAGAAGTTATTATAATGGGAGACTTTAATATCAATTGGGAAGACAAAACCGTAAGAAAGAATCTCAAACAGATAACTGATCACTTTGATCTGAAGCAAATGATTAATGGGCCTACAAGAATAACTAACTCAACAAGTTCTCAAATTGATTTAATTTTTAGTAACCGAGCAGAGAGAATTTTAAAAACTTTTAATATGTTAACAGGCCTTTCTGATCACAATTTGATTCTAGTGGCCAGAAAATTATCTAGCAAGAGATTCATTTCATTTAGAAGTAAATATGACTCTTACGGCATTCCAAAACGTAAACTAGATGATTTCAGAAAGGCAGTTCATCAGATCGAATGGGAGGATTTTTTAATCGGAAAAGATCAGGACGAAGACAGTCGAATATTTTCCAAAAAATTAGAGAGTACTATTAATGATTTCAGTTGTAAACTTAATCCTAAAAACAAAAAATATACTGTCCCTTGGAATAATTCAGATATCTTAAAATTAATGAAAAAACGGGATCTTGCTTTAAAAACAGCAAACAGATCAAAGTTTAGTCATGATAGACAACATTTCGCTATGTTACGGAACAAGGTGGTAAAGTCGTTGAGAAAAGCAAAGGCTGATTTTTTTCTGAGAATAATTAATGAGGCTAGAGGTAATTCAAAAACAATATGGAATAAGTTGAGCTACTTAAAAGGTGACAAAAGAAAGGATAGGTCTTCACTTGAATTGATGGTTAACGGGAAGCTGACTAACAATCCAGCTGATGTAGCCGAAGCACTAAATTATTATTTTGTTGACTCGGTAGTCACAATTACTCAATGTTTTCCCCTAAGTATACTGAAACTCATACAGTTAATACAGGTGAACAAGCCCTTACTCTAAGGGCAGTCTCTGAATTAGACGTCATAAGAACAATTACATCTCTTAAACCATCTAGAGCAAAGGATATATTTGGTATGGACGTGGTAATGCTTAAAGAGCTTAGTGAGTCGTTAGTTAATCCTATCACTAAAATGATCAATCTTTCCATCTCTCAGGGGATGTTCCCTTGTGCTTGGAAGTCATCTGTTATTGTGCCTATATTCAAAAGCGGTGTTTCTCACTCTGCTAGTAACTACAGACCTATTAGTATTCTACCTATAGTCTCAAAGGTTGCAGAGAAATTGATGGCTGCGCAAATCACTAATTATTTGAATAACAGTTCTTTTGTTTTACATCCAATGCAATTTGGCTTCAGAGCAAACTATTCAACTGAGATGGCAAATTGCTATTTCACTGAGAAAGTTAAGTCTCTATTAGATAAAGGAGGGGTTGTCGGGGCTGTGTTTCTTGATTTCAAAAAGGCCTTTGACACCGTAAACCACAGAATTCTGTTGTCTAAATTATTAAGTTTTAATTTCTCTCCACATACGTTGAGATGGATCGAATCATACTTGTCAGGTCGCACACAGTTTGTTAGTATACAAAATTATAAGTCATCTCCTCTAAGTATATCCACTGGTGTTCCACAAGGATCTATTTTGGGTCCTTTACTTTTTACGTTGTACATCAATGATCTTCCATCTGTCTGTCCTAATGCTAACATTCAAATGTATGCAGATGACACTGTTATTTATATACACGGAAGTAGTGCGTCACAAGTTGCAAATGAACTTACAGAATCCCTGGTTCATCTTTCGGCGTGGCTAGAACAATGCTGCTTACAGTTAAACATCTCTAAAACAGTGTGTATGTTTATCACCAAAACTAAGAATTTAAGTATAGTGCCAGATGCAGAGCCGGCCCTAGACCTTTGGGGGCCCTAAGCAAAATTTGGTTGGAGGCCCCTTTGACCGTTTTAAGGCCTAAAGAAAAGCAATGACTACCTTATAACTATACCATACTATATAACTATATTATACTGTATATACTATGTTTGATGTCTAACAGGAAAATTATGATACCACTGAGCTGAATGGCAGTGCAAGACACACACACACACACACACAAACTTGCTGAATAAAAAGACAGATAAAGTGATTATCACTGAACAAAGATACATTTTTATTGACACCAGAGTTTAAGAGTCACAAAAAACTACAGCACATATATATATATATAAAATTTAAATTAAATAGAGCAAATAGAATAACATTTAAATATAATATTATATAAAATAATAAAT